GTAGGTTATAAACTTTTTACATTATTAGTTTTATTTGGGATTTTTTGTACAATACGTTGCTGGTTGCTGTATCAACACGAACACGCATCAGAAATGGAAGCACAAGAAGAAGAAAATATCTTTTCTATAGCGCCTTTCAAGATAAAAATCACGAGGCACTTCACAAAAAAAAAGTAAAAATATAAAAAAGCTTTTAGAAAATGTTTAAAAATATATTAAAATGAGCAAAAATAGGCAATTGTGATAAAAAAAATGTTAAGAAAGAGAGAGAGTGAATAGGAAAGAGGGAAATCAGTGGATCCTGAGGAAGGTGGAATAGGAGGGGAGAGCAGAATAAAGAGAGAGTGGTGAAGAAGGTCATCCAAAAGCCAGCTTGAACAAGTGAGTCTTCAGCTGCTTTTTGAAGGAGACCACTGAGTCCACTGATCTCAGGCTCAGGGGGAGAGAGTTCCAGAGTCTGGGGGCCACAGCAGCAAATGATCGGTCTCCTCTGGTCTTCAGCCTGGTGCGTTGCGCAACCAGTAGACTTTGATCACTGGACCTCAGGGACCTGCTGGGGGTGTAGGGACTAAGAAGATCACCAATGTAAGGTGGTGCTTGTCCATGTAAGGCCCTATAGACCAGAACCAGGATCTTGAAATGAACCCTGAAGTTGACTGGCAGCCAGTGAAGCTGGAGGAGAAGCGGGATGATGTGGAGAGACCAATAATAAGAAAAATGTGATTGTGAAGACAAGTAATTATTTAATATTTTTCAGTTAATAACACTGACTGCAACACACTGCTGAAGCATGAGACAAACAGGATTACGAGCGTAAGAAGATATGTTCTGTTTTGTGTACTCAATAAGAATAGAATTACGATATTTCAAGAACAGTAGTCGAACACAATAACTTTTAAAAATTAGACATTTTCCATAAAACTGCTCTTTTCCACTTGCTTTATAATATTAGCATTTGCAATTTTGTTATTAAGTAAGGAATAACAAGAAATAAGAATGAACAATAACATAAATATCAATAAATAAATGTCAAAGAATAACTAAAACAAAAATCTCATGTAACCATTAAAGGTTAAACTGTGCTGTGTGTCCATCTTCATGTTGTCATAGTGGCTGAGCGGAGAGCTGACCAGGAACAACGGTGGTGGCAAAACCCAGTTGGGTCTGTGATGGAGTGATGCACGCCTGGAGTGATTGCCATCTCATCCACAGTGAGCACACACTCTTCCCATCTCTGTCAGATTTTTAACCTTCAAACTGAGCATGTCACACACCTCTCCTAACACACCTGGTTCCAGCTTAATGGGCTGCATTTGTCTTTGCAGGGTTCTAACATCAGGCAGAGGGATACTCTTGTCCTGAAGAAACCTGCAGCCTGTTGAACCCACTGAAAAACAGAGTTGTACGGCCTTTTTGATTGTCTGTTTACTCCATTTAATGCCTCTTAAGTTTTTCATGCCTTTTGGATTTTCTATTTGCTCCCTTAGGGTTTCCAGCTGGGTTCCCTGGTTGCAGCCTGGTCCTGTCTCCTCCTGGCCCTGATGCCGGCTCCTCATGGCTTCCTGGGATGTCCACCCCCATCTACTGATACCATCTCATATCCCCCCTCACTGTCCCTCATCTCATTTGCCTCACTGCTGCTGCTGTTTTCCTCTTTCTCTGAAATTATAATAGCACTGTTAGAATAAAGAATCATTTTTCAATAAAATACATACAAATGTCTAATATTTCTAAAGATTTGCACCACAGTTTACTTGAGTACAACATGTGTGGTCACTGGTCAGTGGATCAACATGCAGTGGTTCTGCTGTGCTTCTCACTGAGGGATCCTTCCTCCTCCTTGGTTCAGGGCGATGAACAAGCACAGCATCAGCCCTGAGTCTCACCTTGCCTTGCCTAGTCTGTCCCTCCTCAAAATGTGCCTGTAGTGATGTATTACTGTAGTTTATTTCCTGCCACATTTAACAGTTTAATTACAGCCTTGTGCAGAGCCAGATGAAATAAATGGACTACACTAGGCAGGCTGCATTTTTGCCCCCCCCCCCCCCCCCCCCCCCCCCAATCGATGTTATTTAATGAATTAAAATGTTCAAAATATTAAATGATTGTTCCGTCTTTATATTTTATTTGAACAACCCTCAACTATTTGCTGATTGTAAGATTCAGCTTCATTCCAGCATTATTTATCTTTTTACCATAAATAATTATTTTTGCTAAAACAAAAGTTTTTGGTATAGCAGTGCACGGTGTGCAAGAGAAGCACCCCATGGCAGTGGGAGGTCCGCTCTGCCTGCAGCTGGAGAGAAACTGCTTCAAGAACTACCATCAAATAAAAACGTCTGAAAGTTTACAAAAATGAATGGTCTTAAAAACAGCTAAAAAAAAGATACCAAGGTTCAAACTTTTTTAAGAACAGATGCATTACAGTTCAAAGTTTAAATTGTTTGCCCAGAAATTTTGAAGTTCCTGCTCAGTAATAAATGTAAAAAATTCTAATCCGTTTTTTGCTTTTTACACTTTTAAGCTGATTTTTTAAAGACTTTAATAGAAATAAATTCTAAATACAAACCATACACTGAAAGCTGAGGTTGTTCTAAAAAAGGAGAGAGTTACACACTCTTTGCACTTTTTATTACAATTTTACAGCCATAAGATTAAAAAAATACCAGGCGGCCCTGTTATAATTATGGTCATAAGAGGGTTATTAAGACGGCGATGCACAAACTGGAAGTGATTGGTAGTCATTCCACTCCAATCCAGTTGGTGGCGGTAATGCACCAAATTGTTGTTTGCCAAGTGCCATAAGACCACAAATAATAATAAGAAGAGAGGCAGGGGCGTTCGTAACAAACCCAAAGCAAAGGAAACTAAGGGCAAAGATAAACATAATGACTAGAGGGGTGAGGAGGACTAATGCAAACAAATAGGAATTACAAGGGAGTGACTAGGGGGAAACATGAGGGAAGCCTAGAGGGAGCTGGGGAACACAAGTAGACACGTGAGGAGAACCTGGAGTGGGCTGGGGAAGCATAAGGACACACGAAGCACAAGGGAACACATGAGGGGAACGCAGAGGAAGAACAGGAGGGGGCTGGGGACCAAGGGGATACAGAACGTGACACTGAAGCCCATCTCAAAAAGGTCTACAGCTGTTGCTGATTTCACCACAAAATAATGCAATTTAACTTGTGTTTTTCTTTTTGCTTTTATTGGGCTTGCCTGACTTTTCTCTGCACACAAAGTTCCTAACAGATAAATAAAGTTAACTTGATGTAGTTGTCAATAAGATGACAGAGGTGCTGCATAACGGAAAACGCTATTTATCTGTGAAATTGCCCATATCCCAGCATATGTATTTTTCATTAAACACTCATTCTAAACAACTAAACAGCAGCTAAACTCACCTCAAGAAACAGTTGTCTCAATTATGAGTAATTTGTGATTGGTTATGATATCAAAATATATGAGCAACATGCTGTGAGTTTCAGTGTGTCTAGTTTCCTTTCAGCCATTACTGAATTACATCGTCATGGTTCTCACATGCAATTGTTTGAAGTTTCTAAAATTACAAATGCATGTGTGCAAACCCTTCAAGAACACGAGGACAGTAAATTTAGGGACAAATAAAAACCGTCAACATCTAAAATCCTTTCTCTTTGCAGCTGTGGAAAGATACCAAGAAAATATTCTCAAGAAACCGGTTCCCAGTCTGCTGTTTTGTTTGACAGCTTTTATTTAAAACCAGATGTGCATTAGTCACAGCTATTGCACAATTCTTGGCACTGCCTCAACAACGGACAGTTAGCAGCTTTTACAATAAATGGGTTTTACAGTTTCGACTGGATTAAAAACAAAAAAAAAAAAAAAAAAGGGAATGAAGCTTGCTTACGGGAAATGAAGCAGTGGCTTCGTTTAAAGATTGACCATCAGTTACACAACTTCCTGTAAGTCACATTGAGTGTGGTTTTGCAATAATCATATTTAAAGTAATGTGTTTAAAAAGCCCACCTTTTTCAGTTAGTTTAAGTACATATGTGGATGCATCCAAAACACAAAACTTTCATGTTTTTTTTAGCATTTTTTCTGTAAATTCCTGAAAATGAAAGCCTGAAAGAACAACGGGATAATGTGATGCAAATGTCTTTTTTGGGTCAAATTACAAAATGATTTGGGAAGACATCAAATTCTTAAATGTCCATTTACTCTATAATTAACTCTACTCAACACTTCTTTTCAATCAAGCCCCTTTTGAGCAAGATAAAACCAGGAGTTGGAACAACAGAACAAAGAGTTTGTGACTTTTTAACTCTGGACTATTTCCTCGTCAACATCCTCTTCGCCACATAACTCTTTCTGGTACAGGTGTGCATTTGCCAAAAGCAACAGTGTCAAATGTAAAATGAAACAGATCCGGAACTCCTGATCTGTTCTTGGTGAGTCAGAGAAACATCTTCCAGGATCAGTTCCTTTCTGCTCAGAAGAGTTTGGAGCCAGATCAGCCCATTTGCCATTATTGAGATGTTGATTTCGGATGCACTGACAAACTCAGCTCAGAAAAGGTGAATATTACTTAGCAAGATGTTGAAACTGTGAAACCAGATGTTGCACATTTTCAAATTCATTTTCAAATGGAGACGCTGCATTTGTGAATCAGGAAGTTTTCTTTGATTTACTGGGGTGATTTATCAAATTCATATAAAATTGTGTTTTAAGTGTATGAGGAACTAACAAAGTAAAATGTTTGCTATGTGAATAAAATACAAGTTGATCTAATAATTTCTAGACTAATTTAGCTACCTGGCCAAGAACAGATGCAAAATATTCTGCATGGATTAAATCTGCACAGAAACTGTTGGAAATCTGTTGAAAAATTAAAACACACTGATTGAGACTCATAAACTCCTCCTTGCAGATAGGAGGATTTTGGATCAACAGCACACATTGTTCCTTCTCATTCTCCTCCCACTGGCCACAGCTTGTGTTTCTCCTACAAGAACGATCGACCTCAGAAAGTGAGAGAGAGAGAGTGTGTGTGTGCGTGTGTGTGTGTTTCTCTGTGTGTGTTGAGACTGAAGGGAAGAAAATGGGGAAAGGGAGTGTCTGGTTAAAGTGGAGTTACATTGGAGCGATCAGTGTTATAGCGGTAAGTGTTTCCTTCCTGATGATACTCTTTAGTTTACTTAATGTAATAAAACATGACTTTAGAAGAAAGTTGTGTGGTAATCTGCTTCCATAACAGCAGGTCTAGGCTATAAAGTTTGAAAAAGCTGCGAAAATCCCTTTTAAAACAGCAACAAATATGTCCGATGTTCAAATTTCATCAGACGGCATAATGATGCTTAAAGGTATAGCAATGGATCTTTTACTTCCGGGTGGTAAAGCTGTCAATTATTACATCAAACAAAGCAACGGACTTACGCAACCATTGGTCCGCATAACTGTCAATCACTCTGGCGAATCCTTTGCGTAAGTCCGTTGCTTTGTTTCATGTAATAATTGACAGCTTTACCCCACTACCTCATCATAGTGTTTTCAAATGTCAGATGTTGATGTCATTTGCTCAAACTCGCGAGAACAAGGGTCACTCTATAAAAGGTGGTACTGGTTCCAGTAACGAAGCACATTTACAAACACACGAACACATGAACAGGCCGATACCCAATCCTGGCACTGATATAAAGAAATCCTTAATGAGAGGGATTGTTTAAGGGGCTAGACTTGTTGCCTTTGCGGTCCTGTTGCAGTTTTACTCACTGTGGTTGTAGCACTGAATAATGCAGTGTGTGTTTCTGTTGTTGCAGGGGATAGGCGTCCTGATGTTAGGATTCACTTTGTTTTCTCATGGATATTTGATGCATGAGGAAGAGGTAACATTCATTTATCAAAACAGAGTATACTTTCAAATATGTACACCATCCTGATTTGGGATTCTGTACGGTTTTAGTGTTTTAAAATCTTTTTTGTTTAATATGTCTTCTGAAGTAAAATAACAAACATTAGCCAAGTTGCACATGCTTTCATTGACAATTTTACTGTTTTTATGCAAAGAACCAAATGTTTCTACGTTGGCCTGTCTTTTTCAAGACTTCTGCAGTTTGCTCTGACATGCTCTCAGTAACAGTCTGAACAAAATCTCAACTGGTCACCCAATTTTTCATGACTAAAGTCTAGGGTTTGTTCAGATCTGTAGGGTTATGTCCACCTTTCTCTTGACTGACCACATGGTGTCAAAGGGATTATGGTCAAGGCATTTTCTTGCCATCAACACACGGGTGTATTTTTACATAAATAACTGTCTTACACATGTCAACGATGACACATTTCAAAGATATCTCATATCGCATGTAAATTTCACTTACAAACATTTGCTGCTCAGATGGAGAGTCTCGCTTATTTCATCGATGTCAAATGTGAATTTGGAGTAAACAAACATGGTGGAGGAGGATTTGGATTCCCTTTGCGTTTTGCAGACGGCTTCCATCACCTTGCCCTCTGGTTGGTTACCCATCACATTGAACAGACTGAATGCTCGTTTGTCCTCTGTATTGGTACAAGACAATACAGCATCAAATATCCCAGATTTGCAATCGGAGCGATGAAGAGCACCAATCGCACCTGTTGTGTACGGAAAAGGGGTGTGCTGACCCCCCATTTAATTGGTGCATAGCATATTGACACGTGCCGATTCAAAACAGAATGGTAAACATTCATAAACAATTATGAATAAATGCTGAAAAACAGCAGCAAAGTGTGGCAGGAAAATAAAAGTTACCTGTGCCGTTCAGACACTTTACAGGATGGACCGGCGGAGAAAACTAAACAGCGATGCTGGCAGCTTGTTTCTAAGCTTCAGTGACTGAGTGTTGGATTTACTCGTCGAGATTCAATGAAATAAAATACATTAGCAACACTACCAACATGTGACAGCAACTTACACGTTTCCATCCCGGTTTAGATGAAAAGAAGAGACCAGTTGTTCCTCCTAACCAGCAGTCGAGGAAGGATTACTAAAACTTGCCTGGAACTCCAGCTACTTTCATAGAACTACAACGTTAATTTGTAGCAAAGCTGAGGCCGCACAAGGAAACCTTTGGTCATTTATAAGTAACTGGCGCGATCACGTGTTTCCACAAAGATGACGTGATAGCCATTCGAAGAGGTTGTGGGGGCCATCTCTGCGTCGCCACAGACTTCCTTTTAGTTTGAACATAATTTGTTTTTGTTGTGTGGAGTATAATCAGACATTTAATAAATGTATGGAATTAAGTCTGGATTATGTCTCTCATTATGTGAAATCAATTCTAGGCTTCCCAAGGTGTATCTGTGTGTGTGTGTTCCTACAGCCTTGTCTCTTATCAACCCCTGAATTTGTAATTTGCTAGTTGCCTTCACTGAGCTGTTTCGGTCTCACGGTTCTGTGGTAACCTTTTTGACCTCCAGAGAAGTGGAGGAGGCAAGGAGGTAAGGAGGCTCATTCTGGAGAAAGTGCAGGTGCACCAGATAATGGTTTATCCAAACAAGACATAGACTTTTAGAATCGATAAAATTGCTCCCCCTGACAAGCAAGAAGGAGGGGCAACGTTGGGCTAATGTCAACAGGATGCAGAGAAGAGGAAAGCCTGCAAGAGGCGCTAAGAAGAAACAAGTGAACGGATGAAGAAGGTGACATCATGACATCCAAGATTTGTGGTCTCTTTGGGGCCGTTGAAGTAACAAGAAGAAGAGGAACACGTGACCAGGAAGTCTGAAGTCTGAAGCAGCAAACAAAGAAATGACTGTGAGGGAGGGAGGATAGAGTGAATAAAAGAGAGTCGCCGAGCCTGTGAGAAGGTATGGCCTTTGATGGGAAGAGTTTGTGAGGTAGAGAGATGGAAAGAAGGAAGCTTTTGCTTTGAACTTTTTGTCTGTGAAAATCTGACCTAGTGTCATTTTTGGAGAGCTTATTCAGCTCAACTTTGCTATAACTCGGTTTATTGACAAAGACTTGTTTCATTTTTTAACCCGCTTTGTCGGAGTTTCGTTTGGATTATTATTCTTTTTTCATCTGTGTGAAATAAAACCTAGTTCCTCGGATTCGTGGAACGAAAAAAGGATTTACGAGTGGGGTCTCCACCTGTCGGTAACTGAGCAAAGGTGAGATGCTGGTTGTAAATGCCATCCCTAGGTGTTTTGGATACAAGTCGTTTCCTCCATCCTAGGCTACAAGTAAAGTCAGTTGTCTCCTCAGCATAGAAGGAACAGCTGGAAAGGGTCTTAACCTGAAGTGTACATAAGCTTCATGGACTGGGGGTGTGTGTAGGTGTGTTTGCGCCTCCTCTTTGTCTGCTTGAACTAATTTTGGTCAGAATTAGAAGCTCTGGGTTTGTGGTGATTGCTGATCAACTCTTTACAGAGTAAGAGTGTTTGTTGGTAGCTGGCATTGTCATGCTCACTACATCGATTACAAGTCAAACCCTGAGATATTAGTAAATCTAGAAGAGTGGAGCTAGCCCGGTAAATTGGCTTGTAACAGTTTTTATGCCAGCTGAAGCAACACTCCTTAACCTTTCTTACAAGATGCAGTATAGGGTGCAACAGTTTAGGCAGCGTTGTTAATCTTCATGATTTTCCTTTATAAATTGTTGCATGTTGGGATAAAACTTAAACATATATCATAGGACACACACAGTGATATTTGAGAAGTGAAACGAAGTTCATAGGATTTGCAGAAATCACAATTAAATTAATTAAACAAAATTAGGCAGGTGCATAAATTTGATCACCACAAAAAAGAAATAAATTCAATACTTAGTAGATCCTCCTTTCGCAGAAATACAGCCTATAAAAGCTTCCTACAGCTTCCAATGTGAGTCTGGATTCTGGCTGAAGGTATTTTGGACCATTCTTCTCTAGTTCATTCAGGTGTGACGCTTCTGAGCATGGACAGCCCTCTTTAACTCGCACTACAGATTTTCAATAATATTCAGGTCTGGGGACTGAGATGGCCATTCCAGAACGTTCTACATGTTCCTCTGCATGAACGCCTTAGTAGATTCTGACCGGTGTTTAGGGTCATTGTCTTGTTGAAAGACAGCCTCGGTGCAGCTTCAGCTTTGCCACTAATTCCTGGACATTGATCTCCAGAATCTGCTGATATTGAGTGGAATCCATGTGTCCCTCAACTTTAACCTGATTACCAGTCCCTGCAGTGGCCACACATCCCCACAGCATGATGGAAACACCACCATGTTTTACTGTAGGTAGCAGGTGTTTTTCTTCTCTTTCCTCCTTAACACCCCTTGTTATGCCCAAATAACTCAGTTTTAGTTTCATCAGTCCACAGCACCTTATTCCAAAGCTGGCTTGTCCAAATGTGCTTCAGCATACCTCAAGTAGCTCAGTTTGTGCTGTGGGTGGAGAAATGGCTTCCTCTGCATCACTCTCACATGCAGCATCTCCTTGTGTAAAGTGCGCTGAATAGTTGAACGATGCACAGCGACTCCATCAGCAGCAGGGTGATGTTGTAGGTTTTTGGTGCTGGTCTGTGGGTTGACTCCGACTGTTCTCAACATTCTTCACTTCTGTTTTTCTAAGATTTTTCTTGGTCTGTCACTTAGAGCCTTAACTAGAACTGTGCCTGTGGTTTTCCATTTCCTCAATTGTTCCTAGCTGGAAACAGACAGCTGAAATCTCTGCGACAACTTTTTGGATCCTTCCCCCAAACCATGACGGTGACCAATCCATGTTTTCAGCTCATGTGAGAGTTGTTTTGAGATCCCCATATTACTACTCTTCAGAGAATATTAAAAAAGGAGGGAAACTTACAATTGGCTCCCTTAAATACTCTTTCTCCTAACTGGATTCACCCATGGAGGTCAAGGGTCATCGAGCTTACCAAACCAATTTTGAGTTATATCTACAGGTTTTGGAATCAATAAAACAACAACAGTGGCCAAATGTATGCACCTGTCTAATTTTGATTAAACAATTAATGCACATTCTCTGTAAATCCTATAAACTTCATTTCACTTCTCAAACATTACTGTGAATGTGTGTCCTAAATGATATATTTAACTGAACATTTTTATCCTAATGACCAACGATTTATAAAGGAAAATCGTGAAGATTAACAACACTGCTCAAACCTTCGCACCCCACTGTACTTAAAGTACAAAAATGACCCATATTCAGGCTATGCTGACATGGTTTTGGTATGTTTTCAACAGTTAGAGAGCCTTGTCACAGGATTCCATTTTGCTTATGGTTTCATCTCCATAACTCTGCTCTTAACCATCATTGGTGGATTTGGTGTCTGGAAGGAAAAGAAGTGGGCTCTAATCGTAGTAAGTAAAGGTTCCCTAATGTTAGGACAATCAACTATGATAAATAAAAGGAAATATCTGAAATTCTACTTGTGTAAATATTTGTCAGTTCACAGTTGGGATGATCTTATGCACTCTGTACCTGATTGCAAATGAAGTTGGTCTTCTGATTGTTCCATCACAGGTAGGCCTCTGTGTGAATATATTTTGTAGATTGAAAAGAAAAAGACAGTCAACCAATTTTCATAGTTTTTTTTTGTTGCGTAGTTGAAAGTTCTTCTGGAAGATGACTACCTCAGCATGTTGCCTCTATCTAAAGTCAATGTAACCGAAATAGCTCACCTAAATACCACACAGAGTGAAGTAAGTAAACATTTGTGTATTTGTTACCAACTCCATGCACTTACAGTTCTATTCAAGCTTATTTTTATATAAAAAAAGTAAAGTTGCAAGCACATTGGAACTTAAAACACCTGTATATTTTACAAGGAGTCAAGTGGAGTGTATAAATGCACACATTTCTGGAGGTCTTACTGTCTTAAATGTCATTATTGAAACTATTCCCT